TAGACTAATTTATTAACACCTGCACCTAATTTCGAGGGTGGGAGAAGTGCCCGGATGGGTTCAGACGAGAGTTTAGACTAATTCATTATATTAGAAACTGGAAACGTTGTTGAGATGGGTTCTTACAATAGTTTAGACCAGATACATTCGCAAAAGTGGTCGCTTATTACAGGTGTTGTATGTTGTTTCGGACCAAAAATCGATGCCCGCGGTCGCGTTACACAGGTGGTCGTTTAATACAGGTAACTTATACGAAGACTCTATGGATAAACTATTCCGTGCCAGAAATTTTTGCCCGTTTTGACAGGTGCCCGTCGAATGCAGGTGGTCGCCTAAGCAGTTTTCACTGTATTCATTTTTGTTGAATTGCTGAGCAGATCAAATTGCAGTTGCACAATAATTTAATAATGCCATTGTTCATCATTATGACAATGTGATCATAAAATAAATTTTAATTATATCAAAGCGGAAATAATTAACATTCAGTCATTGCATTACATTTTTTCCAATTAGTACAGGATAGACCATTTATCCAACTATTTCATTTTTGAAGAATATTTATCAATTGCAATTAGATGATAGAAAATGGCTAAGCAATGAATGCCAATTTTAGCCACAAATTCTTGCAAAGTTTGGTATGAGCTTTCTTTCACCATAAATTTCTAAATGATATTATCTACAGAAATTCAAAACACTTAGACACCTTTTCTTGCAGCCGAAGTTTATAAGAAAAACTTTCTAACGTTTTCGGTCTTGTTAAAAGACCTTTCTCAAGAAAAAATAAATCAAATAAAACAACAAATTGTAAATCGAATGCTTAGTACAGCTAACACGTTTTTTGAATATTTTCGAACTAGCTTATAATCCGTTGCAATTTATGACGTCACTGTGAACTTAGCAACAGAAATATAAAAAAAGATTACATAAATATCTAAATACAAATACATATAGTAACCATCTCCTAACCAGTTACTATGTATCTTAGGCTATGTATTTTTGAATAAGGTTAGGAGATGGTTACTATATGTATTTGTATTTAGATATTTATGTAATCTTTTTTATATTTCCATTGCTAAGTTCACAATGACGTCATAAATTGCAACGGATTATAAGCTAGTTCGAAAATATTCGAGAAACGTGTTAGCTGTACTAAGCGTTCGATTTACAATTTGTTGTTTTATTTGATTTATTTTTTCTTGAGAAAGGTCTTTTAACAAGACCGAAAACATTAGAAAGTTTTTCTTATAAACTTTGGCTGCAAGAAAAGGTGTCTTAGTAAGTGTTTTGATAGTACAGTATGCAGTCTTGAACGATCTACAGAAATTCTCTTATGATACATTTTTAATTGAAAAATTTCAAAACAAAAATTTTAAAACCATCATCATACTGTTTGTTCATTTCTAATAGTTTCTTCAAATATTCTTCATACTGCAGGACTCAAAACAATTTCATTTTAAAAAGTAATCCTAATTCTATTTTCTATCTATTATTATTAGTAAAAATTAAACTACAAAACATGTATCTAACCCTTTTTTTAAGTATTTCTACTCAAAATTAAGTAGATTTAAAGTATTTTAAGTATTGGTAGACCCCTTGTTTTACATCCAAACTGTTTCAACATATAATGTATATTATTAAATAAAGTACTGCCTTAAAAAATATTTATAAGAAGTAGAAAGTTGAGATAAAGTACATTAAAAACTAAACAAAACAAATAAAGCATGAAGAGTTAACAACAGATGATGATTTTAAAAATTTAAATATTCATTAAAAATATAAATATTTAAAATTTAAAGCAATTTTACCATATTTTCACAGATTGTCTGGCATGTCAGTCTATCCTAGGGAGACCATGAAATCAGATGGTAAAACCAGCATGCTGGTTTAAGTGAAGTTATACATTCCCCTCTAGACGACACATAACAAATGAAAGTTTTTATTCTAAAACTGTGAAACTGTTGGCATTACATAAAAACTAGGATTATATGTTTAATATCTGCATTTTTACTTCTTCCTAACAACATAAAAGACTCATGGAATGCCAAGTGCTTTTTTAATGTTTATTTTATCCAAAACACAAAAATAAACATCAAATTTCAGAAAATCACTGTAAATTATCTCAAATTATACTGATTAACATCCACTTTGTGTGAAATTTGAGAGGAGGGTATTATTTTTAAGATTAGGATAGATTGTCAGTACAGCCCACACTGACTAACTACTACTACAGCTAATGTCAATAAGCTGCTAATTGTTTCATTGCACTGTAAAAACTTTCATTTAAGTTGGTCAAATTACAATGTTATTATTTTAGTGTACTTGGAAGAATGCTTTCTTTAACAACTAGTTTTGTTAGATCTGATTAACTTTATTTTTTTAGTCACAGTTTAACTGACATGCCAGTAACCCCAGAGTTTCTGGCATCCCCTGGTTGTATGTGGGATGCTGGTCAATCCATGAAAATACAGTATTTATTCAGTACTAGATTTCTTTAAATATTACTGTTTTGTATTTTCAAAGAAAACAGTATCTGGTAGTTAAAAAATTATGAAAATACAGTAGAGCATCGATTATCCGAATCAATTGGGAACTGGGGTTGTTCGAAAAATCAATTTTACAGATAACCGATTATGAATGAAAAAATACATTATTAATATAGTATATTAGTATATCCCAATAATAGTATATTAATATAGCCCATGTTTAAACTTTTCTCCGTTGTGTTACTTCACATTGAATTTTTGTCAATGTTAAGCCTAATGAAAATTTTTATAATAATAATTGTGGCTATTGTATCGTTAAAAATTATTTCTTATTTTGTACAAACAAAATAAATATATTGAAAAATATAAAAACAAAAAAAAATTATACTTCAGAAGTTAATTTAGTATCAAAAACGTAAAATATTTGAGTAGCC